ATGAATAGAAGTTTGTAAACTGGCCTTGACTTGTTGCCTATTTAAGAGCATGTGAAATGTATAAGTTGCATGTGCACATTACTTGAGGTTTTGCACGCACATATCACGCTAGATTCACTTGTGTATATGAAATTCATTCTTATAAGAAGATAAATACATTCTTCTTATGATAAGGCTGTATATTATTGATTACTTAGATGCTTTAATATTGCGATCAATGTGCAGAAAAGACAAGCATGGGATGATATCATTATTTGAGTGCATTAATATTATAATGTTTACCTATTCAGAAACTATACGTACAGGATTTTGAGAGGACATCATTTTATGAATTCTTTATTGACTGGATTGGCTGAGAATGAAAAACCAGCTATGATAAAATAAAATAAAAAAACAATGCGTTGCAACAAATGCGACTAAAAGAAATGCCTTAATATCTTCTCCTAATTCTACTTTATAGTCCTCAACAACAAAGGCAGCAACAACTAATGCAACAACATCTAGCTTCATCTTCTAAGTTGCATCAAAATTGTATGAGACCCAAAACAGTTGTTCTAAATAGTAAGGCAGCGGCGTATCTGCAGCAACAATATCAACAGAAGGGCAAAAGCCAATGCAAGTCACAAGAGCTTTTGCATCAGCAGTAGTCTCCAAGAATGGTAGCCCCCGGAGGCCATAAATCTGTGAAGTTTGATGAGATCACAACTGGATCTACTGCATCTAATATACTACTCCAGGGGCCCAGAGGCCACAAATCCTAAGTTTGGCAAGATCAGAATCAGATACCACTACTGATGTAGGATGCAACGAACAAGAACAATATTGAGAAAAGGAGGAGAAAGAGGGATAATGAAGAGAAGAAGAGTGGGAGAAAAGAGAGAATTTAAATGGAGGAAATATAATTTTTGTTTCAATGCCCTAAGTTTTCCTATTACAATGAATAAGCCCCTCCTTTTAATGGGCAAAGAAGCTAAAATCAAAAGAACTTATAATAAACTAGAACCTACAGAAATATTAAAGCTAATCAACAAATAATCTGAATCCCATATTTTAAAATCATATCTTTACTCTTATCTTCATTTTCCATTGGACGTCCTTACTAATTCCTGTATGTGTAGTTTCTGATGGTGAAAAAGATACAGTAGCATTTATCGCAATTTTGAATCATTAAAGCATCAACTTCTGGAGGCAATGATATATCGACTCATCATACTAATAAAGTATTAATCTTTTTATAAGAATGAATTTTATATATGCAATTAAAACTAGCTTGCTATGTGCGTCCCGAAGCATAGGTAATATGCACATTCAACTTACCCATTGCACACACTCTCCTCAATTGGCAAGTTAGCGTGCAATTTTTAGTCAGTCCCAATACTGTAATTTTAAGTTTGAAGTAGGGTACTGAGCAAATTTCTAGCAATGTATGATTACTTTCCAAGGAGTTGATTGCTCGCTTTTTCTGTGCATTGATCTCATTAGTAAACATTTAGCTTCAACTTTTGGTAGCAATGATATATAAGCCTCATCATACAAATGAAGTATTAATCTTGTTATAAGAATGAATTTTACATACACAAATAGAAAGAGAATGCTACGTGTGTGCCAAACGACATGAAATGTGCGCATGCAACTTACCCATTCCTCACACTCTCAAATAGGCAACAACACAAGGTAGGTTAATTTGTAAATTTATAAGATGAATTTTATATACACGAATGAAACTACCTGCATGCCAAAGAAGTTGGTGGAATATAAGGCATTGGTGGAATATAAAGCATCAACATATGTATTTAATGGGTTAACATTAGCGAATATTTAGTTTGATAGCTACCATATTTAATTGTGATTTTGGTTGTATATAATGAGAGAACATCTCACGTTGAGCATCAAATCTTATTGATAATCACTGTGTATATTTGACATGGTATCAAGCCTACTCCTTGGAATTTTCTCTCGCTTTTTTGGTGGGGTTTTCTCATGGCGAGAGGAGCCGTCCAGTCTTCTTCCACCCTCGCTGCTCTTTGTCGGGTTTTCACTTTTCATTGTAAAATCAATTTAATTTGTAAGAACAAATCCTAAGTTTCTTCTTCTCAGTTCGAACACAAGAATTTTGCCTCCCCAGAGGCACCTTTCCTCTTGTAATGGCTAAGGAAAAAAAGAAGACGACGACGCTGAAAAGGAGGGTAGATAGCCCCAGATAGACTCTGGAGTTGCTGCAGTCAATTAATTTTGCAGGTATAGAAGCTTTCTGTCTTAAAATCTGTAGTGGAGAAATTGTTGGTGGTCAGCGATGTGGCGGACGTCAGCTACACAATGGTATGTTGGCAAAATTGTGAGAGGCCGGTGACGTAGTATACAACGGGTTCTATTTGGGCCTATTTGAGTTATGATTTGTCCTTTTTTTGTGAGCTAGGTTTTTGTTGTGTATGAGTTGGATTAATTGGAGTGTTAGGTTTGTGGGAAGTGGGCCGATTTAAGTTGTGTACATTAGGTAAGGGAATATTAACTAGCAAGGTTCAGGAGCATTCATAAAATGTTCTATACTTCAATTCAGAAAGAAACTGGATTTTGACGGCTAGTGTGTTGGTGGTCCGGCAATATTGCGGGCTGTTGGTGATAGGAGCCGCTCCATCAGTGGTTGCGCTTGGTTTGACTAATAGTTTCCATTCCAAATATGTGACAGTGTTGCTTTACAAGTCCATACAGAAGTAAAATTTGTGATATAGATGACGAAATTGTTGTTGGGATTCACGTGTTGAGGTTAACTCAAAATTGGGATGAGGTTACTGGTAACCGAAAACCTCAGGAAAGCTGGTTTTTTCTTGAATGATAGAGGCAGCTAGGCCAGATTGGTCATTGCCTGTTTCCATAAGGCAAATTTGGTATGATGTGCGGGTGAAGAGTGGCTTTGAGAAGCTTAAAGATTGGACAGCTTCTGTGCAGAATATTTGGAGAGAATTGGTGCACTCTTTTGGCAGATTTCAGTGTCCTCCTTTGCATAAGTGAACTACGTGCGTGCCAAACCACACTTAATTTGCACGTTCAACTTAGCCATCCTCACTCTTAAATAGGTAACAAGACAGGGCAGGTTAAATGACTACTGATACTGTTTTAGCGGCAGTTCACAAATTAAAATTTTAATGAAGAGTTGATCAACCTCACTGCTGAAAATTTTGTGTGTTTTCCAGCAAGTATTCTGCAATAAATGAATTGCACTTGCTTGGTTCATGTTGGACCACACGTGATGTGCACGTGCTGCTTATCTATCCCGCAACTCTTAATAGGCAATTAGAAGCTAATTTAGTGACAGCTGATCTAGTACCAGCAACATTTGTCAAATTTTATATCATGATTCAGCCGCTACAAGATGATCAGTCCATCAAAATCCGAGCATAATAAGGAAGAAAAAAAGGGCTCGTAAGGGTGCCCAGTGTACTTGTAAGTCCAAAAGGTTCCACGAGCAATATGGAATAAAAAATTATTGTTACAGTGGCGGCCCTAATTATAGACGGGATGGGCGATCACCTAAGGCTCTATTTTGGTGAGGGCCCCAAATTATGTAAGGTTAATTGGTTAAAGAAAAACGAAAATTATATTTATAAAATTCTTTAACTTAGAATTATCAATAAGCAAACTCTAGAAACTAATAAAAATTGAAATACAAAAATCTTTAGAAGAAACATATAAATGATATAAAACTTATCACTTGTCTATAAGTAATTTGACCATTTATCCTCCAAATGCCCATTTTCTTTTCTTAACCAAATAAAAATGTCTCTTCGTTTCTTCAAATTTCACGTCCAACAGTAACCCACCATATTTTTTTTTCAACCCATCAAGAAATGAATTATTTCTCGTTGAATTAAAATTTTGAAGATTCAATTTAACAAATTGGTTTGGTATCACTGCAATTATTACGACCTTACATATTTTTTAATTTCTCATTTATCTTCAAAACATATACTGTAAAGTTTATAGACTGTTATTGTTATCGTTTTGCTTTAATCTCATGATAATAACCTTTTTAGATGCTTGTTAAAGATACTTTGAATTTAATAATTCTTTGTCCGTATTCATACTTTTTATTTGTAAGTCAATTTAATATGAATTAATCTAAAATTAGAAGCTCATTTGTATTTAGTCGTCATTTTCATTATTTTGTTATACAATCTCTAGCAGTCAATATTCTTTGATTTTGTACATAAGTCACTCAAATACATATTCAATTTTGTTTTAAATAATTGCATTGAGAAAATGATCAAAAAAACAAACAGACCCCTTTACCATTGCATTATAATTTTGTATGCCAAACTTCACTCATAATTTGTATTGCATGTTCATTTTTGATATTTTGTTATTTTTCTCTTCAAATTTTGGGGTTTAGTTGTATCTATTAAATTTTTCTCTTCAAATTTTGATTGAAAGTATGAAATTTGTATGGAAAAAAATTAATTCTAGATAATTCAATTGCCTAGAATTTATTTGTATGGAAATTAGTAATTAAATGTGTTTGATTGATTTAATTTTAAACTTATAAAATATTATACTTGTCAATTTTTTATTAATGAGTAGATGAGAGAGTGGGTAGATAAGAGAGAGAAAGAGTGAGTGAATTACCTGGAAAATAAAAACGTCTTCCTAAAGAAAATACTTTTCTAATTTTTGAGGAAAATATAGTCACGTAACCAAAAGTTTGAAAATATTGTCAATCAAACACTCCAAACTTAGGAACCTGAGTGGAAAAATGTCATTTTTCATGAAAAATAAAGCTGATCAAACACACTCTTAATGTCCCATTATTCCTTTTTGGTGTTCTCAATTCTTGAGATATAATTTTACTAAATTGTTTTCATGGTATAGTTCTCTAGGCTTCTTGGATTGAAGTTATCCAAATCACAGATTTAGATTACAATATGGGGTCCCAAACTCAAGTTCACCACAGAATTTGGCATAAACAGACCCACTACAACACCCCAATTTGCCAATGGGAGTGAGACAATCTCACCTTATCCACACTCCCACCACAACCTTAATTACACATTCCACATTCATCACCACCCCCATCAACCAAAATTTCCACTATCAGATTCTCCATAATACTCAGCCTCTGCTCCACCAGATCACGGCAAATAAACCACCGCAGATGGCAGCCATGAACTCTAGCGTGTTGGCTTGCAACTATGTCATGTCAGGCACTGAGCTTAGCTCAAAGGTTGTTTCAATGCCTTCGGTTGCCACCCCGATAGCACCTGTTCAGAAATTGCCTGTAATAAGGGCCCAACAGGTTAAAATTTCTGACTCGAATGAGTCGGGAAGAAGAGCAGCAGTTCTTTGCCTTGGCGCAGCCCTTTTGAGTGCTGCAGTTTCCACCTCCTCTGCCAGTGCCGGCATCATTGAGGAATATATCGAAAAGAGCAAGACCAACAAGGTCAGCTTACAATCATAAAACTTGTTTAAATGCACCAACTTAATACTAAAAAATTCTGGCCGTCGTAGGAACTGAATGACAAGAAGAGGCTGGCCACCAGTGGCGCCAACTTCGCTCGGGCATTCACAGTTCAGTTTGGCACATGCAAGTTCCCTGAAAATTTTACTGGGTGCCAAGATCTCGCCAAACAGAAGGTTTGATTTGATCTAATGCCCACCAAAAAAATTCTTTCTTATTTATTCTCCGGGTTAGCTTTGAAACTTATTTGTGCTAATTCTACTACTACTTTACGCAGAAAGTGCCATTTATATCTGAAGACTTGGAATTGGAGTGCAAAGGGAAGGACAAATACAAGTGCGGTTCGAATGTGTTCTGGAAATGGTGAATACTGCAAAACCTTCATAACTACCCTTCCCCAATATGTATTTACATTTTAAGTTGAGAATTTCCGTTCTCTCTCTGTTTGATTGATCAATCGTATGTTTTAAGTGTCATTTGATTCTTCGAATTTCATGGAATCAAGCTGCATCACATGGCATAAGAGAAAATGAAAATAGCAACAAATTGTGAAATAATGGCAGGAGAAGAATTCTGTATAATTTATATATATCATCAGAGTTCCAGAATCCTGGACTTCTGCTTTATGATGAACTAATACAAAGAATTTCAGATCCGTTCTAATAAATATTGCACCCCAGTAAAATAGGCAGCAAAAATGTTACCTTTACATGTATTTCAACTCTCTTTATCTCTGTAAGCATTTCCATCATTAAATATCGAAAACTGACAAAATGGACGAGGAACTCTGAAAACAGAAAAAGAAGAAACGCCATGTTGACGCGGATGCATTTGATTAAGATTCCTGCAATTGATGTGGGTTGTTCCAACAGAAGTATTCTCAAAAAAAATGCATGTACAGCTGAATGTGAAAACACGATACTGTACCAAAATGCAAGCCAATAGGAACTTTCCTTCTTATAGGCCTGCGATGAGCCCCAGATTTCCTTTCTACGCAGGATGTTATATACAAACTAAGCAAACCCCTTCACTTCTATCACATGTTCCGCAACTACAATAAGATTAGTGTCAGCTATAATACCACAAATTTCTAAGCCATCATAACAAAACCTTAAGAATATGAACACCATGATGAGGATCCATTTTTTTGCAACTCTAAACATGGCACAGGGAACACTCCTTCACTAAAGCCCGAGATAAACTCACAGTTCCAACTTATAGAAGGGGATAAACCTTGTATACTAACATTTTTCATGCAAATATCCTCAAATGGGGCACCTTCTATACCCAGTAGCAAGGGAGCTTTTCTCGAATCCACACTAACCACATCAACTATAGAAATCCCTTGAACTTTTGGTAAGGCTTTAGGATCAAATTTCTCATCAGGGTGGTCATTTGCACCTCTACTAAACCTTATAGGTACCTTGACTCTCTCCATTGTTATGTTACGCATAGTGATATTCCTTATATACCCTCCTCTTCCCTTGTCAGTTTTTATTCGCACCCCGGCTGCTGAATCTCTTATGTATAAATCCTCTACAATGATATTTCTAATTCCACCAGACATTTCACTTCCAATTCCAACACCAGAGCACGTAGGAGTTGTGCCTGAAACTCGCCTTATAGTGATGTTTACACTTGGAAGTGACATGGTGATACCATATTGGTCCCAGCCACTCTTCACGGCTACCAGGTCATCACCACTCTCAATATAACAATCTTCAATGCAGACATTTGTGCTTGAATCTGATAAAGAAAGAAAGAGGCTGTCTTCGATAATTCATTCTACATTGATTATAGTATTAATATCTAAGCTGATTAGACATTCATGGAAAAGAAATCTTTAGCGATGTTATGCTTAGATAACTCGTGGTACCTGGATCTATGCCATCAGTATTTGGAGCATTGAGGGGTGCCAAGATTGTCATGTCTTTGATCACAACATTGCTGGAGGAAAAAAAAAAAAAAAGAAGGTTAATCAATTTTGTAAAATTTAAATAAATAAATGTGTCCTAAGAAAACTATAAAAATTGTGCATGTGTCAAATGCTTCTGATTAAAGAATTCAGTCTACACATGAGGAAGCATGTTGAAGACTAAAGTTAAATAAGGTAATGTAATATCGCTGTAACAATTTAAGCTTTTTATACGAGATGGTTCAACAATAATTATGAAGTTGGAGTTTCCTCCATTTTATGTTAACTCTTCATCCTTTCCACATTCTGTACGTTCCACGGGCAAAAAGAAATAGCAGAATTTTAAATTTTTACATTTAAACAATCCAATATCTCTGAAATTCTGTACACTGTATTTTAACCCATTAAATTCATCTCCTTAAGACCATCCACATGGTTCCTTAGTTGAATCCTATAAGAAAACCATTTTATTTTTATTGTTCTGATGTGGCATAGAGAATCTGTTAAAAGCTTGGTGACATGAGTTTTGATGTATTTGAAGATTGACATCCTCTCTATCTTTTCCTCTGGCTTGCTGGCCCAATAGTCCAACACATAAGACAACAGTCTTGCTATTATTTACTTCATTCCCATTAGATGCTTTGATTTATTTACTTTAAAATAGCCGATACACTCCATTATAATAATCAAAAGGACAAAGAAATGATGCTCAAATCTATTTTTCATGGAAAGATGCAACAAATGTTTAAACTCCAAAAGACACTTTGTTTCTCTAAATATCCTCTTTTCTTGCCTAATAAAACCACTTGGAAAGAACTTTTCTCATTGGATACTACTAAATTGCTACTAAGCTCTTCTATAGAATACTAAGCCCCTGTTTGACAACCATTATTTGAAAACTCTTTTTTTCCCAATTTGACAACCATTATTTGAAAAATCTTTTTTTTTTTTTTTTTACATAATCATTTTCAACCACATATTCATCCAATTAAATATTCTACACGTAAACCCAAAACTTTTCACTTTTTTTTTACCATACATTCTCCTAAAAATCACTGTTCAAAACATTGTGTTTCCCAAATAATAGCCATCAAAGAGGGGCTAAATAAAAGAAGCAAGTGATACCTGCAATAAACGGGATGAACAGTCCAGAATGGAGAATTGAGGAAAGTTAGGTTGGAGATTAGGATATTATTTGAGTTGATGAATTCAACAAGGTGACCTCTGGTGTGCTTTAGAGTCCTATTCCACCAAAGATCCCACCACATCTTTCCCTGACCATCAATAGTGCCATTATTCCCTGCAAATGAATGGCTGCAATTAATTAGATCTACTCGTTGATTTTCTTCGATATGTTCAACTTAAATAATTTCTTGAAGACTAATCAAGGAGTAGAAGCAAGTATCAATAAACATTTTACACCATCTCGATTATTGTAGTTTGCCAAAGACTTCTTTAATTCAAATGAGGAGATATAATATGATATCACAGTCAGCAAAATACTGGGTTCAAATCTAATTGTAATTCATTATTCAAATTCTATGACTAAGATTCACCAAAACTAATTTGCAGGAAAGTCTCATTTACTATTTTGCTCTTTTAGCAAGATTGAAATTGCATAACAATCTAAGGCGTGACTGATGGGGAATGGAGACATATAATAAGTCACAACACACACTTTTGATTAATTATAAAGTGCTAGTTGGACAAAGCATGCCATTGGATAATCTTATCTCTTTTGATATCATGCAGCCACATGTGTAAGCATTCTTCAAAGTCATAAAGTAAAATTCTGGTTAGATATACTGGTGTCAAAATAAATCAGCACATCAAAACACACAGTCCGGCCCTACATCCGAGCCATGCTATACTCCACTATAGAGCCATGTCGATCGCGTCTACGAAAGAGAAAAAAGAAACTGAGAAATAAAATTTGATTTGGAAAAAAAAAAATGTAAAAGTTGCACTGACCAAACTATGTCAAGTCAGATGAATTTAGTTACGCAACCAGTGACATCTCAAGTTGGGTGCTTGTTAAAGTTATGGCCATTACCTAAAATTATTTATAATGATTAATAATGACTTAAGTTTCAAGAGTTCATACCTGTAATCACAACATTGGTAAGGGAATCTCCATGGATGAGGCTAATATGTCTCCCTCCTAACCTCTCTCTCCCTCTTCCATAAGAAGGCAATGGCTGGATGATGGGCCATTCCTCAGGGTCCTACTATCAATAAGTATTGAATTATAAATCACCATTACAATTTATGTAACTAACTTCAAATTTTATTAAAATATAGTTTAATTTGCTACTTATTTTCTTCCACCAAAAAAAAAAAAAAAGTGTTGGTGGATTCAAAACGGATAAATTTCATTCTCAGTCATTATACTTTTATAATATCAATAGGAAAAATGACCTTCAATTTACTGTGCTTCAAAATTTTTCCAATCAGATAATTATTTCACTCATGTAATCGATGATTTGATAGTTAATAAGCCCATGTTTGACAGTTTTTTTTTTTTTTTTTTTAGAAGACCAAGTTTTTTAATATTAAATTTTGGAAGAATGTGGAGTTAAAGGAAAAAATTTTGATTTACGAGAAAAATATTTTATCGCCAAAATGTGTGTTGAAACTTGAAAGTGAGCATAAGAAAAAAATGGGAAAGAATGATCTAAATTTCATTTATTTTTCTAAAATTATACTTCTTTTACATAAACGACTAACATTTACGCGTGATGAATCATATTAAAGTGTATTATCCTATGAAAATCAAATTCATCAACTTCTACAGGTGGAATTGGACCTTCTTGAATGAAATTAAGGTGATAATACGATGTAAGAAATTTGAAGTACAGGTACTAAAATAAAAATTTAGTATGACATGATATTAGTCACCTGAGATCCCAGGATAACAGCATCATCTTCAAGAAACAGAGTGAAATTACTGGTAAGATTGAAGCTTCCTGTTAACCATCTACCTTTTGGAACATTCAACTGGGCCCCACCTTTCTGCCGGAAGCTATCCATGTACCCCATCGCCTTTCGAAACGCCGCAGTATTAGAGGTTTTCCCATCGCCCACCCCACCAAACTGAATGATTGATTTCACCATCTTTCTCGGCTGGACCTCCATGAAAAGCCCGGAGCAAGTCCTGGGTCCACCCGGACCCGAGAAACCAGCCCGTCCGGTTACCGACTCGATTGGAAACAGGGAATTCTTTGTGATCTGAATGCCGAAAATCGTTACCACTGTGACAACAAGCAACAGAAAAGCCCATGAAGGCCTTGTAAATCTCGCCTTGATGATGTTAAATAATGGGTTTTCACCTTCCATCATCTATTATCTGTTTATACATGTATCTATGTATACACACATGCATGAAAACTCTGTAATAATTTTGTTTACAAACAGATGCGGATATAAACAAAATTGATGAGTATCCCAATCCTGGATGGGGATCTAAAACACGGTATTGTCTTTATGTTAGGAAATCCTTGTTGGTTGTGATTTGATGGAACAGCGGGGAATACACACAGAAATTGCAGATTTGAATATGGAAGGAGGTGAAGTCGTGAAGAGTTTGATTGAACGGGCACATTTTTTGTGTGGGCCCTTCTCCGAGAAAGTTCAAGGAAGGCGTGATCCTAGTATTTCCGGGTGCCACACTGCCACGCGTTCCCATGGGTACAAATTGTTTCATTTTTTTTTTTTTTTCTATTTCAGAAAATTTTTGAGTTTTAATTTCTAGAAGTTTAGTCCATATTGGATTTGGATTAAAATTTCAAATCAAAATTAACAATTAATTTTAACTACACATTTTCTGTTATTTACAACTTTTTAATCATATATTTTATCAATTTTTATTAAAATATACTGAAAACTTGATTTTAATCAATATCAAATAAGAGCTTAATTTATAATATTATTAACAAAAATAAAGAAAAGATAAAGCTTGACTTTTGCAAAGAGACTTGTGTTTCATTATTAGAAAATTTAGATTGAATAAAGCCACTTGTCCAAATTAGGGGGGGGGAGACAGATTGACGTGTCAAAAAATGATTGGATTTTTTGTTTTAATATTTCAAATTGTCCAATTATACATCGACAAGTGCCCTATCTGAATTTAAATCTGGATACGTAGTATGATTGATTTATATTAGCAAAACAGGAGTAAAAGTAAGGTAACTTAAGCAATGTTCTATTCCCTAATGGGCAAAACATAAGACACCTGGAGTTACACTTTTCTGTACCTTTATAGAATAGTTAATAGGAAAATTGTTTTAAACGCTCACGAACATTTTCTTAAGTTGCATTTTAATCCAAATTGTTTAAACATGGATTAAATGGTCTTAAATCTTTTCATTTTTTGGATCAAATGATCCTTTTGAACAGAACACCCGTCCAATAGGATTGTTAATTTTGTGCAGTTGTCCTTATTTTGTTTTTATTTCAAGGGATAATTTCATTAATTGATGTTTTTTTTTTTTTAAAGGCCAAGAAATCTAAACATAAATAAAAATTTGATTTTGATCTAACCATCCCACCTCACAGTACTATCACACACTACATTGCACCACCATCGCCACAAATAGTATTCTTCTCTCGCTTCTAAAACATAATCTCTCTCACACATTCAAACGCAATTTTCACTTTAAAATCTATTTATTTTATTTTTTGTATTGCAGTCTTTAATTGTTGCCCACACCTAATTTTCCTCCATTTTATAAGTAGTTTTTTTTCCCCATCTATGGGGTCTCTCTTTTTGGTATGGAATTAGATTATCTCCCACGCAAACTATGAAGCTCCAATTTTTATCCTTTTGTGTGGTATTAAAAACATGTTCAAATTGAATTTTCTCAAGTTTTTAACGTAAAGAAAGGTAAACTTTTGACAAAAATATTTTACTTTAGAATTTTTTAAGTTGGGGTTTAATGAGTTCTTAAAATTTTTTTCATTTGGGTTTGTCAGAATTTGATTAAGAATCGTTATAGTGAACAACTTTCCGTCACCATAATTATTATGAACTAAATTTTATGCTTGATCATGTAAAGAGTTGTGTGATCCAAGTTGTATGGTGGCGATTTGGTATGAGCGTATGGCAGTTCGTAGAGTGTACGGAGGAAGATGAATTTCTTTATCTTATATTTAAAAAAAAATAGTAGAAAAAGTTAATTGACCAGACTATATCTTGAAATAAAAGAAAAAAAAACAAGGACAATTGCATTGCACGTACAAAATTAACGGCTCATTTGATTGGATTCCATTTAAAAGGACCATTTTTGCCCCAAGTGAAATGATTTGGGAAATTTGTGTCACATCTAAAAGGTTTGGATCAAAAGTACAATTTGAACAACAATTCAGGACCATTTGCACCAATTTCTCAAATTAATAAAGTAGAAAAGCAGATTTGCATTCAATAAAAAGGAGCAAAATATATTAATGAGAATAAAAGTTTTCTTTTCTTCCCTTTTAAGTGACTTAGATTCACCGGCATGGAGCAGTGCACGAGGATGCAAGTTGATTGATATACGGACAAAAACGGTGATTTCTTTTTTTCTTGAACCCGTTCTTCGCGGCACATTGCACATGAGTGCTTTTACTATTCTATTTCTACCCCCAATTCTCTCTCTTCACTCTTTTTATATTTTTTTTTTCTTTCCTCTCTTGGTGACTCTTAGGTTCTGCTTGGTCATTTTAGAATAATATTATTTCTAGTAGTTCATGCATCGATTCACTTACCGTTACATGTATGGAATGTAAAACGACTGCGACAGTAAATCACTACAAATAACATTACTCGTCATTTTATCATTAATGTTAACCCTTGTTTGTTTACGTCATTTACGAAATGTTAGAAAATCGATGTTTATTAGGTTTTTGAGGAACTCACTCAAAATTAATGAAATGTAATTTGGATCGTATTTTTTAATCGACTAGTTTTTAATCTTTTTACAAATTTTTCCTAATTTTACTCTATATAAAATAATATTTTTCAAATCTACAGTAAAAATGAATGAAGATTGGATAATTATTCATCGAACACTTATTTTAATTATTACTAATTTTACTCTCTAAAATAATTATTTTCAAATTTTCTTCCAATGTTTACCATTTCTAAAATAAACACCTCGTAAACGCTCAAAATCGAGGTTTAAATCGGTATCCCAAAACTCATACTCCGGAGATCTAGAGTGGTTTTTAATTTAATGAAAATTAGTTCTAGTTCTATTTCATATTTGAAATTTTTGAGATTATAAGTTGGTGGGTCCCATGAATGTGAAGTTAAAAATGAATAAAAGTAACTGATCCAATAAAATATATAATTAAAAATAAAGTTTGAGCAACTTAAATCTGCAAAAAGATTTACCAACGAGAGCTAGTAAATTTTACTAGTATTTTTCATTATTTACGAATATTATGTTGTCTCATTAGAGAGGACAGATACATTTTCTGCACTATGTGGGCCTGATTATTTTAATTCTTAAAGGTCCAACCAGGAATCTGATGATAAATAATTAAATATACACGCCTTCATCTAATCCCCCAAAAGAGGTGAAGTTAGATTGAGCCCGACAAGGTTTTTGTTTTTACTTCTGTTTCTGTAGAAAAGTTTTTAAGGAAGAGTGTCCATTTCATGAGAAGGTTCATGGGCAGAGCCAATGCATGTCCAGTGCGGGCACGGACTTTTGGGCAGATTTTTTTTTAACCCACTTATAAAGTTTCAGATATCAATAATAGTGAATATTCATAGCTTTTTTTCAATGTACAATGTCCAGCTCAGAGAGCGAAGCCCTATTAGACCCATTTCCTTAAAATTCAATTGGCCCAAACTCATTCATTCATTTGAATCAATCCAACCCTTTGTCTGTGAGTGAGAGAATTCATCCCTGTTGTAGCGTCGCAATTCCGATTCGCACAGAGTATTAAAACTCGTAAGGAACAAGTGAAATATATAAATTATGTCGTTTTTAGTATTATCGTACTATTATTTTATTTTTTTAGTGTCATTAAATCCATGACCAAAACCTCGACATTTGACGTCAAAAAATTTTTGTCCGCGCTGAACTAAAATCACGGCTCCGCCCCTGAGAAGGTTAACTTAAGTCAACTTCATCTAAAATCTCTCATAGCAAGACAAAACATTTTAAAAAAATTATCGAAATATATTCAAAAACAACTTGTTAATCTTAAAAGCAACTTTCAACTTTTCCAAATTCCTATCGAACGGACCTTAGGCCAACTTTCTGTAAAATTTCCTAATCTCATAAGCTGGTTGAATTTTCAAAAATTCTGCCAAACATACCCTAACTACAATGAGTTATGACCTCCGAAAAAAACTATTGAGTTTATTTTAGGCTGAGTGAAATGGTGAAAGCACTGTGTACTTAATTTCTAAGACTAGCAAATAAGATCTGTTGATCCCTGAAAAAAATGCTATAAGTGCCTGCATTTTATGGCATCAGTACAAAATTTTTGATCTTCAAATGATCCTAGAGATCTCAAGCATCATCAAGTTACATTCTTTAATTATAAAAATTGAAATCAATTTTACCCTCCATTAATAATTATCGTATTACAAAAAATAGTTCACTATAACCTGTTAGTGACACGATGACAAGATAACGGTCAGATGTACGACATGAACCTCAACGTTTAATGTGGATCCACGCACATCTGATCCAAGAAATATTGATTGAATAGTCATACCCAGGAAAATGAGCTGAATACGGAATCCCAACTAGTAAAAACTTGATCAAAGCCCAAACTGCATTCTTCTTGTTCCTGAAGTTCTCTTTCAGCAATGCAAACTTTTTCTTACACTGATTAGCAGTTGGGAATTGCAGCTGCTACTCTTTTCCATCGCTGGTTAGTGTTGTTCGGGAAGGTTTTAAGAGCTTGGACCAAAGCTTTTTCCTATACGTCAGACCATATATCTTCGTTAGAATTTGAAGGCGTCACCTTTGCAGTATCATTTGTTGGAAAAAATGAGTAAATGACTCACTTTTGACAAGATTTTCGATGGGACCCGTTGGTCCAATTTAGAAGATCAAAGTTGATCCGTATTCTCCTCCGTGAGAGAGTCAAAATCATATATTTACTTGTCAAAAATGAAGCTCGGGTGAATGAGAAATTGGAGCTTAAAAATGACCATTGGAAGATGGTTATGTGGGAAAAATTTTAGTCCTACATAGGAAAAATTTAAGTTAGTCTCACTTTAGATATGGTTGCACATTGAAATGGTGCAATTATGTGTAGCATAGAAGCTCTCTCCACGCGCGCGCAGGGGGTGCAAATCTCGGACTAAAATTGCTTTCGAACTTTGAATTTGTGTGCGGGCACGACTTGCGTACACAAATATCGAACCGAACGGAGCGAAAATTGGCCCCTCCGAAGAGCCCACGCTTTGCAATTTTTTTGCTTTCTTCACTGACTTTTGAGTTTTTGAAACTTCTAAAACTTCCACAAATTGAAGTGACTCCAATGTTAATTGTCATAGAGTTAATGACAGATTTATACTATATTAAATCTCAAATTTTTCAGCAATAAAATATATGAAAAATCTCACCAAAAAAACACATGAAATTCTCTCTGCACGAAAATTTGTAGATTCTGTCATCATCTTCTTTCTGTCCAGTGAAGTCGTGGTGGTGGTGATACTGTTTAGATGCTAAATTGGTTCGCCGGAGTAGTTT